AAATGATTACATATTTCATTTAAAAAGAAACTCGTGGCAAAAATCTAATGATACCCTCCTTGCTTTCTTTTTAAATTGTTTAGTTTTAGTTTTTAAATGAAAAACTTTAATGCAGTCATTGTAGTAAGTAGCAGCAGTGATCATGTAAGTAAGGCCATGTCAGTGGTCATCGTGTCAAGGCAATGGTTATGGCGAGCAGACCATAACAGAACTGCCACACCCTGGGTTTTCCTGTGTCAACAGCAGTGACTCTGCTCTTAATAATCCGAGTGCTTGAAAAGATGAGATGCACAGTAGAATTATTTGACAGTTGTTGTTGCATTGTAGTCTGGGAGGAATTTGAGAAGATGTAAGAGGAGAGCATCTGTTGAGTTGAATTCATGAGTTCGTATTTCTCCTGCTGTTAAGAGCTTCTGTTCATCTCTGCAGGATTTTTGGGTTTCCCTGAAAGAAGGGGATCTTTAGCACCTCTGTGCAGAACAGGAGGCTGAGGGATTTGCTCCAGGCCTTCTCCTTCGTCATTTAGCATAAGAAGCAGTGCGTACCTTAAAGCACCACACTTGTAGATGTGATCAGCACAGGCCACTTGCTTTCTTCCTTGGCAATGGGATGTGCAGGTCTCCTGGGGATGTGAAGGAAACTGCAGAGGTGTGCTTGTAGGGAAGGATTCTCACGAAGAAAGGAGGCAGAGGTGTGTTCTCTCGGCTTGTGGATGAACAGCACTGCCCCACATGGCTGCAGATTGTCCTGAGTTCCACCCAGCTATGCAGAGCAGGAGGGTGAGGGTTCACTGCTGATCCCATCGAGGGTCATAGTAACTCAGAGACCAATGTGAAGTCATTTCTGTTTGCAGCACAGCAACGCTCAGGCAGACACAGGTGTAGATCTGTGAGATACGGGAGACTTTGTAAACAAGGCATTTTCCCTTAATTCAGTCTGCACATCTGCTCACTGTCACAGAGCCTTGGCTGACACAGGATACCCTGGTGCCATTTGCCAACACAGAAGGATCCTGGAGGGGAATCTGTTTGCTCTAGGGGGTTTAATTGTAGTGGCACTTGGTGCTCTTCAAGTGTTGGTAAGTCTGATGGTCAGCCTTATTTCTGTTAACAAAGTTTTGGGGGCAATCAGTTTTACCTTAATTCCCTAACGGAATATTTGCAAGCCAGCCAGAAGATGTTTTTCCCTCTCTGGTTATAATTTAATATTGTGCAACTGGTTGCCCAATGCTGTGTCGAAACAAAATCCTTTGAACAGGAAAGTTTGTATTTTAGGATGAGTCCTAAATGTCCATATGTCATCGCTTAAGTAAATTGTGACTGTTCTCCCTTCCTCCAGGATTAACTGTCTGTGGGGCATTTTCTTGTCTTTTGCTGGGATGCAGACTGTGGAGGGCTGTAGCATCTGAGATTCTTGTCAGGGGGCTGAGTCAGTTCTGCTTGTGGGAAAGGCTTGCAGGAGATGATGGCTGCAGCAGAGTGCTGAGATTTACATGATTTTGTCAGACAGGGCATCTCTTTGAGCTTCTCAGGAAAGTTGGACTTCCTCTCAAGGCTGGGTGGGACCAGGCGTTAGCTCAGGTGTTAACCTCATCGCCTGTTACTGCATCTCCTAAATCCACTGCACGTCTGTTTTGTTCTGAAAATGTTTTTCTTTGCATCATGTATTAAGGTTTGTGGGCATATAAATGTATGAAGTCCTTTAGGATGAGGTGAGCTGCCAGCACCTCCTGGCAATGAACCACCTGTGGAAGTTTAAACTTTATGTGTGTAAGGTAGCATCTGTTCTAGGAAAATTTAGAGTTGCATCGAAGTTAACAATAATGATGAATTTAAATTTTCCTTTGGAGCTTCATAAGTGTGCCTTCAGTGCAGTATTGGTGAGCTTAAGCTTCTTTTTTTCCTCAGAAGCTTATAAAAAGATATGTAACACACCATCTCTTGCTTGTTATCCCATTTTGAATTAGGCTGTTCTGAAAATATGCTAATTATGATAACAGATCTTGAGTTTGATCTTAAGAGTTGCCAGTATCTCAATTTTGTTATCTTCAATATGAGAGCTCTTCTTGCACCACAGATTTAGATCCTCTAATTGCATATTGACATATGGAAAGTAGATTTGTAAGTACTTTCTGCTATCTTCAGATGATATGAATAAAAAACTCTACCTTCTGCCCATACAGACATAACTTAAAATATTTACTGAGCACTCACACCTAAAAGGCTCACACGGTGGAACTGGCCACTTTGTATTGCATGGCAGAGCAGCAGCGTGGCAAGTCAAGGAGCAGAGCACTGTTGCTTTTTGCTGGGCAGGGAATACACTGGCTCTGTTTGCTGCTAGCTCCCTGGGTGCTCGATGCATTTCTGTTTATTCTCCCTTGAAAGCATCAGAACCTTTTTTTTGTGACTTTGATAAGTTTGATAACCCCCTCCTTTCCCCCCCCCACCTCCTTTCTCAGCCTCTTGACAGCGGTCTGACCACGTTCCGCTTCCCCTTTCTTTTACTTATGCATCCACGAGCCTTTAGCAAAGGATTCCCCAACCCCCCTCCTTGCTGGGAGCGCTTCCTTCAGCCGCGTCCACAGCTTTGCTGGAGCAGCAGCAGCACAAACCATCTGATTCCTGACAGCAGCACAGCTGTCCGCACCGCTCCACGGCGGAGCTGTGAATCTCCCAGCTCTGCTGTTCGCTCCGCCCACAGAAAGCTGTGATCCAGGCAGCCTCCAGAAACGTCTGCTTTACCCCTGCGTGCCTTTGGAAGGTTACTACGGCTTAAAAAGTTAGCGTTTTTCACAATTACTGTTTCATATTCTTTTCGAAGTCTTAACACTCTTGCGTATTTGCTACAACTTCATTTGGAGGAGCTTTGTTCCTTCAGTCGTAATTATCCTCAAGTCTGTTAGTGAGTAGCGACAGTCTGTCCTAACAGGATGTGTGAATAATTATTTATTCCGCCGTGGATAATCTCGTGTTTGTAACTACTGTAATTTATAGGCCATTGTGCTGCCTGCTTAAATCCCTTAAGTCCCCTCACAAGTCTCTCCAGTCTCAGCTAGCCCAAAGAGCTTTGCTTACCCTCTTATAAACTCTGCCTGTGAGGTCAAGTCAGGTTTTGCTACTGGTCTGATAGGTTACGCTCACTGACATACAAATAGCAGTTATGGCTTGCTATGCCACCCTGAAAACCAGCTTGTAAACAAGACATACCAACTTTTCAGCTGTAACCACACATTTTCCCCCCCATTCTCATGCTACATTTATTGTCATTTTTCTTTACATCGTTTTACCTTTGGGTGCCTTTTCCTAAAGATTTCTGGAAAGTGGCAGATGTTTGCCATCAGCTTGGATGGAACCACGTGAGATGTGTGACTGAAGTCAGAAATACGAAGATGAACATTCCCCACCAGTACTATGGCAGGTTGTTCATCTGAGTACCAGGAATGGGACCTCTTTTATGTGCCTGCTGAGCTGCATGTCCCCAGAAGTATGTGTGCCCTGGAGAAAGTGCAGTGCTGCCCACATGGTGTAATTGAAAGTGTGGGGCCTCATCTGGGGCTAAGAACTCATGATACACTGCTGTCTTCATCAGGCTCTGTCTGATATTACCAGGACTGTAATAGCAGTTCATGTACTTGTATTTGCTTTCTTTTTTTTTTTTTTTCCTAGTGTTGTTGTATGATGAGGGCAAATGACCTGGCTCAGTGTGCAAAATCAAATCAGAGGGGTTCTCCTGGATTCTCAGTGTCTTCTGTGCTGAGTTGGAACTTTTTTACTTTATTTTTCTGTTTCAGCCCATACTCACCTGGTTGGAAAGCCACAGGCACTCTATATTCTCCTTTCAAAATTCAGTAAATATTATGCACGAGCTTAGCTTTACGATTTCCTCTTCTTCCCACATTACCTCTCTCCATCCACCCAGCCAGCACAGACCAAAACCCAAATCTGCAGATTGCAGATGCGCTTACATCTATTTAAATGGGATCCAGTCAAAACGAGGCCTCCAGCCAAGTGCCTGATTCCCTGAGGCATCTTTATGGGGTCTTCAGGGCGTAAATATGAAGAAAACAGAATTGCTCATTTAAGCATAAAAATGTGTTAAATGGCCTCCCTTGAAACCAATGCAAACTGCATTAGTTGCAGAAGTTCACATTTTAAGTTTGTGGATATGTTTATTATAGAAATATTTTTCAGTAGATTCCATATGATGTGACACAAGGAGGGCTGTCAGAGCTGTCATTTCAGTGCTGCTGCTATGTTATGCATGCTAAAACGTAATTGCAAATGGTACAGGGAGAGCTTAATGGTCACAGTTCTGTAAATAGACATCTCCTCTAGTAAAGCTTCAAGGTGTTGTTTTTATATGTGAAATGAGGACTCTTGGATTCGTGCATACCATGCTCAGAGTGACTGCAGCCATGGCTGTGACTATTCCCATTCTGTTGTCTCCATGTTTAATAAATCTTCTGATGTACAGTATAAGCACATTGTGTATGTGCTTGCAGAAAGGTACATGTGTAGTACACGTGCATCATGTACAGAAGGCTTTCCCTTTTTTGTGGTGGCAATGCTGAGGTCTTACAATGAGGGTAGTTGTTAATTATGTTTATTCTACCCTACTCTGTTCTACTCTACTCTACCCTGTTTTCTGCCACCTTTTACCTAACGTGTGCCTTGAGATACAGTGCTCACCCCTCCCCTCCCCTTACAGCCGGGATGTAACAAACTGTCACACACTGAGAAGTTTTGAATAGAAAGGTTATATCAATCATTTGGGTATTTCCTGGTTTCTGTTTGCTTGTTGGAATCATGCATTTCTGTGAGTGCAAAACTTCTTTCACGTAAGTAGTTGGAAATGGACTTCCATAATGTTGGGTTCTGGCAGCACTCGGGAACTGCCACTGTTTTGATATGAAGGGTTAAACTGGCACAGAAGTTGACTTTGGATGGAACAGTTTCTGCTGTTTTCCCCCTCCCAAATAATCATCTTCCCTCCCACAGCGAACAGCTCTGCGCCTTTTGTTACTGTGGTGAACGAAGCTCATTAGGACAAGGAGACTTAAAACAATTCAGCCCAACTCCTGGGTACGTCATCCCATGGAAGAACCAGCCTTTAAACAAGAGCGACGCCAGCGACAGCGCGGATGGAGCTTGTGAGAGGACTCCAAAGCAAAACTCAGTGCCGCGCAAACAGAGAGGGCAGAAGAAGTAAGTGTGTTTCACCATTATCTATGGCCTTATGGGTTTGGTTCGTACGCAGCTTTGGAAATGTGTTACAGGCGCTGTACTGTTGCATTTGTGAAAACTGTGAAATTGATGTGGTCAGTAAGAATCATTGAATGGCTTAGCTTGGAAGAGACCTCAAAAATCATCCAATCCCTCCACCATAGGCAGGGCTGCCAAGCACCAGATCACCTTATTCACTCCTTACTTCAGCAGGCTGCCCAGAGCCTGTCCAGCCCAGCTCTCGTGCCCCATCCCTGGAGGTGTTCCACAGCTCTCTGGGCAGCCTCTTGCAGCACCTCGCTTCATTCTCAGTGGCAAATTTCCCCAACATCTAATCTGAATCTCCCCTCTTTTAGTTAAAAACCGTTCCCCCAAATGGTTCAGTAGCTTTGGGTCGTGGGTTTTTTAAGCCTGCAAGCAGTGCAGAAATGGTTGCCTCGCTTCTAAAGGTTGGCTTCTGGCCTTAAGTGAGAATCTTGAACAAAAGACCATAGGAAAGCATTTACTATCAACGCACAGATCTGTTTTGAGATTGAAGTAAACTGAGGGCAGCATGCGGAGGGATAGGAGCAGGGTGCTTCGTGTTCCAAAGCACGGGTGACGACTGGCCGTCTGGTTGGAGCACAGAGAGTCCCCGTGCCAGGGTGCATCACCCGCACGGCACCGCGGTGCTGCCTGGTGTCCAGGAGCACCTCCTGTGCTCCGCTTTGTGCCCGCTGCCTCAGCCCCGGCACTGGGCACCGCTGACAGCAGCCTGTCACTGATGAGACCCGGGCTGCACAGCCCTCAGCACTCTCAGCTCTCTCCTCACAGGAGAGCTGCTGCAGCGCCTGAATTACCGAATCCAGGAATTCTGAATAAATAAAAAAAAAAGATGCAGGAAGGAGGAGCGCGCGGAGCCCCGGGGCTTTCATCCACGGTCTCCCTCCGGGGCCGCCCTCGCCGCGGTGCCGCCCGCTGCAGCGCGGGGCCGGGGCCGCACTGGAGGCCGGGGATTGGCTGCGGGCGCGGGGCCGCCGCCAGCCCGCGGGGCCCGGCTGAGGGACGGCAGCGCCCGCCTTAAGGTGGAACGGCCGCGGGGCCGCCGAGCAGCGCCGGGTCCGCGCGTCGCCCGGCGTCTCTTAGTGCAGCAGTTCGGTCTGGGTCTGTGACAGCACTCCGAAACGACCCTCCCGAAGCACTGATTTCACGTTTCGCCGCTCTTCGCGTTCAGCTGTGGCTGGAGGTGGCTCGGTGTGGCTTTGTGCTTGCTGGTGTTTGTTCAGGTTGCAGCGTGCTGCCAAATAATTATGTCAACAGTGTAAAAATGGGCGTTGTGTAATGCCAGCAGAGAGAAAGCCGTGTGCTGCAGCCCCCCTCCCCGCTCTCCTCACTCCTTATGCATTGCAAGTAGTGGCCTGAAAAGAGACTAAGCACAAAGTTCAGGCTGGGCTGAAGTATGCTGCTGTTCAGGATGGAATTGCAGAGTAAACGAGGATGTTCTCTGAAGGTGATTTTGTCAGAAATCCTCTGTGCTATTGAGAACACTACATCACTTGGGGTCAAACTGTTTGCTGACGTGCTCAGCCCCTGTGCTCTGAGCCTGATGTTGGTGCCCCTCAGTGCTGACAGTGCTGGAGTCGGGGTGGGGGGAGGTTCTGTCATGGCATGAGTCACGGGGATGTCATTTAGTCATGAAAAACGTTGAAAACTCTCTTTGGTAGTGCAAGAGGGAAGGGAGGCTACTTTTCTTTTTCTCCACAAGTTCCCTTCCCTTCCCTTCCCTTCCCTTCCCTTCCCTTCCCTTCCCTTCCCTTCCCTTCCCTTCCCTTCTTACCACCAATCAGAAAGGCACAGTTGCTGCAGTGTAACAGCCCGTTGTTTGCAGGAGCTCTTGGCATAGTGGCACTGGGTTGCTTCTCAGTGTCCTTTTCAATGACTGTACCCAGAAGGAGAGCAGTCAGGACTGAAGGCATTTTTATGCTGTTTCAACTCTGTAAACTCAGAATTAGCAGCAAATGCTCAAGTCTGAGTTACTAACGAGGCAGAAAAATGAAGTTCAAAAAAACATAACACCTTTTGTAACAATCACAAAAGCATTAGATGAAGTCAGAACTTAGTAAATAAGTCTAATGTGGATCTTTAGATGCCCAAGATAATATTTTGCCTGTAAGAAAAAAACGAGGAATCATCACTTCCTTTTGTTAGCGGGACTCATCTGAGTTTTGTTAATTGCTTTCCATTGAGATTAGAATTTGGGGAGCAAGTTAATAAGGTTGTGAACTGGCTCCTCGCACATCAGCACAGCATAGTAGTCTGCACGTAGTAGTCACTGCATTTCTAAATTCCCTCACATTCATTCCTGTATCCTCCCCCCATTTTGTTCAGACTGTCTTGGTTGCATTGGATAAGTATGTTTATTCCCAGGAGCATTTTTTACTTTTTTTTTTTTTTTCTTCTTTGTTTTGCTCACATCCCTGCACAGTTGCTGTGATGTACCCAGGCTGTAACAGTATGCGAGGGTGCTGTCAATGCTGTACCAAGGGCCAGCTGTTGGGATTGCTAAGAGAGGGCCATGTGAGAGCTGCCAAAGCTCCTCTCCACCTTCACCACTTTCTTTTTTTCCTTTTACATCTCTTCTTCCCCAGGGTAGCACAGACTGTTACATAATTCTCCATCCGTAGGGTTGGGCGAGTCTTAATATTAAACAGGACTGGATTTAAAAAAAAAAAAAAAAGAATCAGCGTGTGTATCCTGAACAATGGCAGGAGAGCAACCTCCAGGAAGGGGAAAATCGTCAAGTACTTTTTTTGGCTGTCGAAAAGTAGCTGTAACTGAAGACTTGGTTAACCCTCAAAATGTTGGGTTATGTATGAGGAAGTCAGATGTTTGGTGATGTTGATTATATTTCATTATGCTTGAAAATAAAATAATTTTTGCTGAATTTTGGATCACTTCTAAGTACCTGGCTAATTGAACAAAGAATGTGGTCACTTCTAAGTTTCTTTTTTTTTCTTTTCTGCTTCCTGGTACAGATCTCGATTAAGTACATCATGTACGAGTGTCAGCACCCAAACTGCTTCTGACGATCAGGTTGTCAAATTCTGGGATGAACTCAGTTTAGTTGGCTTACCAGATGACATTGATGTTCAAGCCTTATTTGAGCCAACAGGTAAGATACGTTTCTCTCCTTGTTTCTCATCCATCTGGGTTGGGTACAGTAGCTATATTGACAATGAATGAAGTTTTTCAGCTTTTTCAGCTATTTTTTGTTCTCTAGTGTTTGTCAGGTATTTAATTTTGCTTTCCTGACTTTTGCCAGTGTTATGTGGTGTTTCTGTGTAGTTTCCAATTCACGTACCAGACAGACAGTCCTAGTGATGGGGCCTGGATGCTCAGGTTGATTGTCAGGCTCGATGATCTTGAAGATCTTTTCAGTTGTTCAGGTAGTAATATCTTCAACATCCTGATTGTATTTTGGGGAGGAAAAAAAGAAGTGTGACACAGCTTAATGTAATTCTTAAAGTCTGAAGGCTTAACCCTCCACAATGGCAGCATGAGGTTAGGTGATCTAAAATAGAGGAAGGAAAGATTTAAAAGAGAAGATATAGGAAGAACAACAGATTTATAGCACGCTCGCATGTTTTCAGTATCTGCAGATTTTCTGTCAAAAAAACCTGTATGCTTTGTCATCCGTTCTTTCATTTTAATGGAGCTTCTCTTTTTAGTCAGTTATGAATTACTTTTGTGGAAGGCGTTTATGTCCTCATGCTTTGATGCCAAGTGTCCATTCACATATTTTACCTCAGAAATGCAAATATGTTTCTTCTTAACCCAGTGCAAGTATACAAATGTCATTCTTTCATGAGTGCAGAAACTGATTTTGAAGTTTAATTAGAAAAAAATAAGGTTTTGTTTTAAACCGTTCTGCTGTAGCGTGTGGGGCGGGGAGGGTGATCAATCTGAATTATTTTAAGTTGTCATTATTATTTGTCCATGAATCTTCCCAGGCCCTTACAGAACTTCTTGGGGAGTTTGTTTTGTTTTGTTTTGTTTTTGTGGCTGAAGGATTAAGTTGGCCAACTGCAATATCTAATTTCAGCAGCCAGTGTAAAGCATTGTTTCAGATGTACTAAAAAGCTGTCTCAGAGTTCCTTCAGAAGTATTCTTTATTTGCAGCTGTTTTTCCCATGATTGAATTAGAAACATCTTTTAAAATATTCCCATTGAATTCTGCACATTCTCCTTGTGCAGATACTGAGTTATCAAAAAAACATTTCTGCTTATATCTGTTTAATGCATTTGTTGTATTGGCACAGTTTTCTGTGCTGTGGTGCATTTTGGACTTTAAAAAATTTTATGTAGAATTCTGAAGCATCATTTAAGTTCATTCTACATAAACACACAGACCTGCATGCAGCCATTGGGAAATGTAAGTTAATAGTATATATGGAGATGAATGTTATCTGCAGTAAAACCCAGGATCTGATCTAACTGTGAGTGTCTCATGCACTGACATTGTGTATACACCCCCTGTTATGATTCTATGGTCAGGCGTCTGAAAACTAGAAACAGATGCACGGAATGTACCACGATGAAGTGAAAGATTTTTTATGTGTCAGAAGGTTGCAGTGTGTTTAGCATTTGATGGTATCTGCAGTATATTTAATGTATGGTACTAAGGCCACTAAATATTGCAACGAGAAGAACAAGAGGAGAGACTATTTGTCTGGCAAGTACGTACTAGAACTGAGTTTTGTGCTAACAGGAAATGCTTTATGGAGTTGTAAAACTGAAGCTGCTCTCTCCCAATGCATTAGGTCATTGCTGGGCTCATCAACGCTGTGCAGAGTGGTCATTGGGAGTCTGCCAGACTGAAGAGCAGCTATCAGTGAACGTGGACAAAGCTGTTGTCTCAGGGAGCACAGAAGTGAGTAAAATGATGAGAGTGCTTGAATAGGTGGTGGGGTGGGGCTGAAAAACAAGCAGGAAACAAGTGCCACACAAGGTGTTGCCAACAATATCGACGTACAGATCTCTGAGCTATTACGTTCATAATGGTGTTTTTTTTGTTCAAGTCTTCATGATAAAATCTACTCTTGCAATTTATTCAAGAGACTTAATGATAGATTCCATGCAATTCCATTAATTCTCACTGCAAGTCCTCTTCTAGGGTAAGTAGAATGTAGAAAGTACACAGATGATGAATATACAGATAAAAGAAAAGCTGAGTTCAAATTAGCAAATTCCCTGCTCGACGGAGGAAAGTTTTGTTGCTGGTTTATATTCTGAAATGTTATGACTCATATAATACAAAAATTCTCAAGCTAGAAGGTTGATGTAGGAAAACTAGTGTTTGCTGCCAAGCCTGTGTTGTTATTGTAAATACTGATTGAAAGATGTTGCTCTGAAAGTAATAGGAGATACTACTTTTGGAGTAACTCAGGTAGATACTTAGTGTTTCGGTATGAAATGGCAGGGTGTTCTGAAAAAGCAGACACCTTTGAAAGGGATGGTCTCCTTTTGGCATTGTGTTGGAGTGATGAGGAGACCTATTTCACATAGTCTTTACTATTTGTGGCTGTATTTTTCTCAGTCGTGTTTGGTGGATTATTTTAATAATTTTGTCTTCTCTGTTAATCAGTTGCGCTATCAGCAAATCTGCATAATTTTGCTGTCTTCCCAGTGATCATGCTTAGGCTTATGTTTTAATTGCTTCTTAAAGTTCTTGATGCATTTTGTTAAAATAACAAAACAATGTGGAAGATGCCAGTAAACGTTCTCCATTGTGTGGAGTAAAAAGCTGTTTTAAATCAGTCTTTCAATATGAGCTGTATAATACAGTTTTCCTTGTGCCATCTGCTTTTACATGCACTCATATGGAATAAATGCTTTACTTTGAATAATATAATTGATTTCTGTGCGTCTGCTTTCAATGCAGAAGACTACTCAGAGTGAATGAACCTGACAGAACTGAGTTCTAAATGAGTTTGAAGATGTTAAAACATTCATCTGTGTGTGCATGTATAAAAAGATTGGAAAGAGCAAGGTTAGGTTTCTATCTATCTATCCATCCATCCATCATTTTTATATCTCACTGTAGGTTTTGGTTACCTCTCTTTCTTAAGTAGCTATGGTAGTGGTTTGTAGTCATTTTGTTATCCTCTCATTGCCACTTGTGGCCTTTTTCCAAATAATGATAGGCTCCTCATAGTGTTAAAGCTTGTACGTTGCTCTGTTGAATTTCATCCTGATTGCATTATTTCAGTCCTGCTTTCTGTATGGTACTTTGCTCCTCCCTGCTATTGGTGGTACCTGAGCCTGATGCCATTAGCTTGCTTTCAGTTGGATGTAGGTGTTTATAATGCTAATATGTAAGTAATTATTTTTGAAGAGTTCCACATCTCTCTGGTGCAATGCAATTCCTGTTTCAGTCTTGTCTTTCCTTGAGCCATTGTGTAGCTTCTCTACTCATCATCTCAAATTCTGCAAGTAATTTTTTTAGGTTAGTCTGTTGCAGATGTTTTCAGAGCACTGCATAGAGATGAGAGAGTTTTGAATCGAGTGCCATTGTATGTATTTCCTTTTCTTTTCGGGCCTTGCTGAATATCTTGAGAAACTTTTTTCCCTTCAACACAGCAGTCAGCCAACAAAGGAAGCAGTTGTTTTGGTCATTCTGTTTTGTCCTTCTCATGAAGTCCCCCGGGAGAGAGCAAGAGTGAGAGCGTAAGGGAGATTGATTGCAGAGGAGCAGCTGGACTGAATGGGTCATCTTCATCCCACTGTCTCCAGGGATGGCTTTGCTTCTATTTTTTTAAGAAATAAGCTGCAAACTCCTCTATAGTTCTCTGTTCCTGAGCGTGGAGCAGCACTGTGGGGGCTGCATAGAGTTGTATGCAACTGCTTTGTTGTGTCTGTAGTGCTTGGTCATCATTTTTCACTGTCCTCAGTGCTTCAAAACTTGTCAGTCAGCTAAAGAAGGCACAAAGAAGTAGAAGATGCTCATCATATTCTGCTGCAAGAGAAAAACCAGTTTAAGAGAAAAACTTTTCTTTGTGCAAGGCTTTTCCGAAGGTATTGAATGAGTGGTATAGCAATTCATTTAGTGTACTTTTTAGCATTTACAGCTGCTTGCATTTTGCATTTGCTAACATTTTGGGCTTCTTTCTAGTGTGATGTTACTGCATTTTAAGAGCAAAGTATCTGCTTGAGTGTTCTGAGCGCTGTTGGCAGCACAGATGCAAGTATGTGCTCAGGGCTTACAGAAGAATAATTTAAATAAAAACAGGCTGTATGTTATTTCCCCTACTTGCCACCAGATTTGCTTTTTATGTTGTTGTTGTTTGGGGATTTCTGTCTTCTTGGAAGTCCCTCTGGCATCCCATGGGTTTCTGATGTGGTTTGTAGCACTGACATCTTCCTTTAGCTTGGAAAGTACTTTTTCTTTTCCTTATCTTTGCGCAGAGATTAATTTTTGACATGCAGTAACCTTTTTCTTGATAGTGAAGTGCTTGGGTTTAGGTAATGCAAGTTGTGGAGAGCAATTTGTTGCTTTTCATACCTTTGTGGGTGTCTCTCAGTTGCGTGTTACATTGATGTTTCTCGTTTGTTAGGATGTCTGTTGTTTGCAAATCTGTTCTAACTGGATGTGACAGTGTTTCTTATTACTCTGTTTACCAGTTGAGATGTCCATTTGGCTTCACTGAATTGTGATTGCATTAATAAAGCTCATGTGGACATACATATTCTGGAGTAGGTCAAGGAATTATGTTAATGCCTTTTGGGTTCTCCTCTTGGCCTTTGTTTTCTGAAGGCTTTAAAAACAATATTGCAGAGATTTCAGCGTCTGCATTTCACAAAATGGCCTGCTTAGTGTTTCTTTCTTTCTTCAGTTGGTTCTTTCCACTCACTCATTTTGAAGGCCTGGCAGTTTATTTTCTCAGGTACCTGACCAATGTCTTGCATGTCTTTGCGTCAAGACATAGGTGGGCTCTTTGTCTTTCCTTCTATATTGCTGTAGCCCTTATGGATGCTAAGTTGATTTATTTAATCTCATTGCTTACCTTGCTTACCAGCAACTGAAGAGTTCATTTTCTCAGAACCACTTTTCGAACTAAAAAAGCCCTAAGGCAGAGCTGGTGATGCAGGTGGTGAGTGTAGCTGTCAGACCTTCATTCAGGATCCTTCGTAAGAGTTCAGATCTTTAGCTCTGGAGCTTGAATAGTGTTTAAGAGCCTGAACAGCTAGGCATGACAGCTCCTTCCCCCATGTTTCTGATGAGCTTTCATGGGGCTCTGGAGTCATTTTGTTTCAAGTTTTGAAAGAAAAGATTGATAATATAGAGGAGAAAACTTCCTGTGATTTACTTGATCCAAAACTTATCTTCATTGCTTATAGTTTATAAGTGCTCTTCTCAGTACATTAAAAAAAACACAAAAACATTCCACAGTAAAGAAGTTGTCATATTGCCAATGTTATGAAGAGTTGGTTTTTCTTAGAGATATTTGTGCTAAGATGCAGAGATGATACTAAAATGGAGATGTGAAATAAAGCAAAGGAAAATGACTGGACAGAAATCAGAGGATTTGCTAAAAAATACAAACACCAAACAATGGTAGATGTGGATAAAGGGAGGGTTCTGCTTTTCTTTGTATTTCTGGCTTCAGTGTTATATTTTCTTAATGACTCTGGCTTTTGATGCTTGGATGAATGATACAGGATGAGCTTACTGGCACTGCCATTTAAAATGGAGGCCCTTAGGGCTTATGTCTGCTCAGCTCTTAGCGAGAGTGGTTTCTGAAATATTTTCAAGTCTTTTTAAATACTACTTTATAATTTCCTTATTCATTTTACATATATTGAGTAGGTGGCTGTTGCTTTACAGTCTGCTCAGGAAAAATAAAGTTTACTACTCATCTGCCTTACATTGTCTAGGTATAACTCTTCTTTATGCTGCAAAGTCCCACATCTCTGCATTATCCCCTAATTGCTGAAAGCTCTCTGCTCCTGTCTTCAGCATCGTGCACTCTAAACTACAACATTGTACACCAAAATTACAGTAAATTGCCTTGAAGGACCCTGGTGGGCTGGGCAGATTTTAGCATTAGGGGTTACATGGCTTGCCTAGGAAGGAAAAATGATTTGTGGTAATGGTTTAAGGAAGTTGTGCAAATCAGAATGTAGTAAGGTAGGGGGGGTTTTTTGTTGCTTATTTTATTTTTAAATATGCAAGTAGCCCAATTAAAGGAGTGAATTTAAGGAGGACTCAGTAGATAATGTTTGGACAGCTTCTGTTGACAAGAAAGCAATGTAATGTCAACTTTCCCAGCCAGCTCTCTCTTCTGATAAGATGCAGAGAACAGTTTACAAGTTTGGGAGAGCTTACCAAGGATAGCAGAGTCAAAGAAAACAATATTGGTGGAAACTGAGGAGGTTCCTACCTGCTTAAAGGCTGAGTAAGGGCAACATAATACAGATGAAGCATCTAAAGGAGTCATCCCAAAATACAGTATTATTCTGTTTTCATGTTGTAAGATTTCTATTAACTCTGAGATTCTGTATAGCTCCTTGTGTATTTATCCACTTGAGAGCTTTCATTTTTCCAGCAGCAGCCAAGTGTTTTTTTTCAGGACCGAGACTCTCACAATCAGACAGCTGAGAAATTGCTCTCGTCTTCTCCCACCCATCCATTTTTTTTTTAGTTAATCAGGGCAGTATCTCCTCTCTGTACGAGGCAGCTGTTTTCAGCTCCTGCTGAGTTCCTGAAGGCTGTTTGGCGTGTTATCACTGCTGAGAACTGGAGGACTTGTTGCTTTGCATTGAGGCGAGCTAATCAATAGCATCTTGCCTTGTTCCAAACTATAAAACACTCTGCTGTCTTGACACTCTTCTCTCCTGTATGCCCTTTTCTCATGGTAACACAGTCTTTAC